AAAGCAGGCACGCCCTCACGAATCTCTTTCACCGGCGCTAGGATTTTAATTGGAGGCGATTCCACTGATATTTCGGACGGCGAGCGTTTGCTTTGCGGTGCGCAAATGCATTCTCCTCTTCGCAGGTATATTCCGCGCTGGCTATTTTGCGTGTAAGCGTTATGGAAGTCGCCTTTTATTCGTCTCCCCCCCCCCCTCCCTGCAGTCCATTCTGCCATCGCGTTCAAATGTCCGAAATGCGCACACTGCACGAATTTGTTCTAGCTTTGTGCCGCGCGTGTTTGTTGTTCCGCGGTTAACCTGCAGTGTGCGACCAAACATTTGGTTTTCTCCTGAAAGACCGTTGTCATAAAATTGTCGCATCAACCTGCAGTGTTCAGTGAACTTTACTGTGCGTCTGACTTCCACGAGCAAGACAGTTCCCATTAAACAGAATCCGCACTTCTTGCAAACTTCGCAAGTAGTGTTGGTGTAGGCTATCAATTTAAAATTTAAATGTTTTGTGAACGAATGTTAATGTTAAAACTTAATTTCTTAACCTTGGGTAATTTAAAACTTTAATATTCTTAATGAAAGGATTCGGAAATATTTTGTTCTAATAATTTCATAACAAGTGGCCATTATAAGGTTTTTTCAAAAAAAAATACTCAAAAAATCTTTGATTTATTTTTGTAGGTCGGTGTATTCAATGGAAAATGTAACTGTGAAATAACAAGAAAAAAGCACGTCAGGTGATATCGCGCTTCACATACTTTATAGGTTTCAGGCGATGTGCTAAAAAGTGTTAATATTACAAGACGTAATTAGGTGTTTTTTAAGGGAAATTTTCTCTGAAATCATAATTTATCTACTTTTCGTAAAATCACTCATATCAAAAAGACATTCCCTCGCTGGGTCAAAAGTAAAGTCGTCAACGAAGAAGAAGAAGAAAAGAAAAGCGAATATCTATTTTCGGTCGTCTGCGCAAATCGAATCGCGCGTTTCCCTCAACGGCTAGGCATGCCTCTCTCTTTCTCTCTCCCTCTGTCTCTCTTTCCGCGCGTAGTTCCACGGGCGGGCGGGCCAGCTGCGCGGGCGCGAGGATAGGAGAGGGGTGGGGTGGGGGGCTTGCAGGCGCATCGGGACATGCAAAAGCTGCGCAGCATCTGCTCTCGCCGGGAGTTGGGGCTGTTTGACTTGGAACTTGGGGATCGCCGCGCGGCCGCTCGGAGGGCGGCCCGTTCGCCGACGCAGTCGCGAACGACCCCGACGTTCAGCCCGGCGGTCGTATATGGGCCGTTGGAAGCAGCGCCGAGATAAGGCGAGTTATGAGGGTTAGTGTTGGACTTTTCGCCGTTGTGAAGTCGTAAACCGAGAGAAAGCGATTTGTCCTATAATCTCGATTTCTGGGTCCCCCGTACGTTACTATTTCGTACGCCATACGGCTCGCGAACTTGAACAGTTAATATTTTTTGCATTTTGTTTTCATTGCTTTTAAAAATCTCCATCTCACTTCGTGGTCATTTTGAAATGTGGCAGTGGCTAAGTTCGTAATTTGTGGAAGAATTTCATTATTTGTAGAAAGGGGATAACATGTGTCCTGTAAAAAGGTAACTAAAGGACAATATTAATGAATATTCAAAGAGTGCTCATGAGATAAATTGCGTCTTGTAGCCTCTAGATAAATGTATTCGGCGACGGGGAAACAAGTCCTTTTTTTTTATTTTTTGCAAACGTCAGATTAAGTATACAAATTATAAAATAGTATTCTAGCTAGAAATCAGTGTAAAAGAGGAACTTGTTCCTTATAAAGCTTGGCTCTTATGAACGATTACGGATACCATTGTTTTTACAAAAGAAAACAAGTCTAGAGCTAGTCTCCTTTTCACACACACAATTACGTTGGTTACCTGCAAAATATTGCGTCTTGAGTCATTTAGTATTGGATCTGATGGTGCTTTTGGTAATCTTGTCATTTAATGATTTGATTCTTGTTTTTCACGGAATAGTGTAATTAATATTTGACACGTTAGTTTAGCTCTGAAGGTGAATATGCTAGACAAAATAAGCGATAACATGTTCAAATTACTGAGGAATATGACCTTGAGAAAAGATAGAGCTCGTTTAGCGACGAGGGAATAAGTTATTGGAAAGAGTTAATTTACGGTTGGTAAACATTCCTGTCAAATTGAAGTGTACAAATAAATTTTCTGATGAGATGAATTGCTGAAAATCTGTATTATGTCTAAAAGTACATACATAAAATATGATATTCTTTAGTAATAACATTGTAGAATTAATTGATATGGGTCATGAGTAGTACATTCGAAAAGAATTTGTAAATTAATAAAATGCAAAATTGAGGTAGTTCCAAAGTATCTTTAAAGTCTAGATCTGCATCTTATCTGTGGTATATAAATTTCCAAGATGATATCTGTGCATGCCATTAATTTTTTCTTCGTTTTCTAACAATGAAAGTAGGACTTGTTTTTCTTTCCAAATCACCGATTGAATAGATGGTCATATCACGTCTTTTTTGTTACGTGTAAGCTATAAAATTAGTTTTATATTAATATCATGACACACATTTCCGTTCTTCAATACGGCTATTCTTGGCCCAAAGATTCCTTTTCGTAATTTCATTTAAACGTAAACGGAAAGTAGTATTCTTAAAGAAATTAATTTTTTGACGTATAATAATGAAGTTCTTTTATTGCTTTTTTGTCGATGTACGCTTGTGTACATGTAATTAATTTTCCCCGCAAACAATAGGTGTTTTTATGAAACATTAATTTCGTTTTTTTCATCCTAAGATATTCTAGGAACCCACGATCGGTATTCTATGAATGCACTAACGAGCGTATTCCTATTTATGAGATATGCATTCACTATTTTTATTTCCGTTTGTTTGAAAAGTCTACAGCGATATTACTTTTATTTTTGTTGTTGAGCGAACGATGAAAAATATATGGATATTGCTTTGGCATTTTATGAAAACTGGAAATAATTTCTAGTTACATTCATAATTGAAAAGTGTACCATTCTATAATGCGTTGTTTATTTTTTGCTAACCTTTTATTTCTAGAAGTATAGATATCAGACACATTCTTTTATCATCTTGTTTTTAAAAAAGGTAACTTGTGACGATAATAGATATTCTAATAAAAGAAGAAACATTTCCTTTGAAGAAATTTTTTTTACATTTAATACATGTGTATTAAATAAAATTGTGCGTGAAATTGACAAAAATACCTAAAATAATACTTTCTTTTATTGCGACATAGAGCTCATTTTGAATATTATTATATTTAAGCAGCTAGAGAAACAGCTGTCATTATTTATTTTGATGATACACACACTTTCTAGATTTCTATATAATAAATTTTGAATACACACTTGCGACGTGGCTGATTAATCCATCGTCTAGAGTGTTACATCTTGCAATGCTAGTTGTTTTGAGTCAGTCACAGAAATTGAGACATAGAAACGATTCGCAATCTCATAATTGTTAGGTTAATGGATGGATATTATTAAATGTGGGAGGCATAACAGAAATGTTTCTTCTCTTCAATAATTTCGTTAGTCAACGATTACTTTGGAGTTAAATCATCATTAAAATTCCACGCAGTTTTTAAAATTCAACTATTCAAATAATTTATTCTTGGAATATCCTCGTGAATTCACAATATGCGCATAAATATGCTTAAGAATCCGATAGCCTCATATTAATATTTCAACTGTGAATACATCGCTTTTATGCATCTAGTGAGAACTCAAGAAGCACGAAATCCCAATTACCCTTCCAACTTCCTTCAACTCTTCCGGCTGAACATGCTAGTTTATCTATCTGGTAGTCCCGTATATATTAGATACTTCGCTAGGACTCAAACATCGACCTTCCCGTTCTATTCAACGTTTTCCGCTGCCGGGAATGTGGAAGCGACGCCCTTTGAGTCTGGGGGGGGGGAGTTCCTTGAGGTGGGTGGAAGGTCCAGCATCCGGCATGTTGTGGACGTCGCCCGCCATCCTTCCGGTTTGAGCGCCTTCCCGCCCTCCGACCCTTCCGTCCGCTTCCGGTGCCGGCGTGAGCGGGGGAGTGGCTTAGGGCACGGAGGCGGAAACAACGGGCGCGAAGGCGGCAAGTGGGCGACCGCCGCCCGTCACGAGGAAGTCTCGTTAATTAGGCGGACCACTCAAAGGCGGCAATTACTGCGGCGAGACGGCGATGCGGCGGGGCGGGGTGGGGCCAAGAGGCGCCAAGTGGGCCAAGGAGCGCTCCAAGCGGCTGCTGGGTGAAGTGGCTCCCGAGGCGAAAGGGGGGTGGGGAGAGCGAGATTAGGAAGGCGATTGGAGGGGGAAGCGCAAAGCAAACAGGATCTTGATGGAAAGCGTCAAACAACGATGGCTTGGAGCCACAGGCACAGGGTGACTCTGAAATGCCTCGACAAAACAATTTTCCAGAGAGCGTACACGGTTTTTATTGTTTCAAAGCGAATGCGAAGTCATGCGGGTAGGTGAGACTAGGTTGAAAAGCGAAATGCTGAAGAGCGCTGTTGGGAATAGGATGCAACACTTGTTTCAATTCTAAGAAGGGATTGTGGCAGATCAGTCAGGATTATGACAGATACCTACCACGTATTAATCCCTTGGCCAGTGACCCAATCTCAGGATCTCAGGTTATCGCTCATGGCTAACGGAAAGCAGGAATTGATAGAATAGGGCATAAAATGTAGAATTCAATACCAGTCATTATTTTAACTAAAATTGATATTATGACGAGTAAAACACAGTGACACTGGTGTTGATAGTTTTCGTTAGTTTGACATTTCTGTTAGTGTGATTTACGAAGAGAACAGCTCTATTTTGAGATAATAGTTTTGTACCTACAAAGAAATTAATGTTTGTGTACTTTGGATTTTCTTCTCTCTTTTTTCATTGTTTTTGATGCCATTTCAAGCTTCTGGGGAGGGGCATGAAACAGAAGTGGGATTTTAGGCGAGTGTGATGGGAGAATGACCAGGATGGCGGGCGAGAGAGATCGGTTGCTTCAGAAGCAAAATCAGAGGAGGAAAGTCGCTGGTGTAGAGTGGAACGATGGTGGCAGGTTGGAGAAAAGAGGCGGCGAAGACACCGACAGAGGAAGAATGGAAGTTTGGAAGTACGCTAGCGACGGCAGTCGGGTAGGTGCCGACGCAGGCGAAAATAACAGTTTTTAAGACGTGGCAACGACGCGTCGATGGCGGAGATGTGGTCGAGTAGTACGAGTTGTGGTCGAGTGTTAATGATGAGAGAGGTCGCGAGCGAGGACTGAGGCGTAGTAAGGAAGGCAGCAGCTGCAAATGAAGGGGGCGGAGTGAGACGGCAGCGCCTTCCACACACTGCTGGCGACGGTGAAGACAGAGGACGGGGGCAACGGTGTGGACGGCGTGTGAGGGGGACGGGCAGTGAACAGGGAGCCGAGCAGCGTCTGGCACGTGCGGCGGAGGCAGAGGATGACAGAGGTCGATGTTTGCGAAGGCGGCGTCTCAGACACGGTCGGTAGCGGTGAATAAGAGTGGTCGAGGTGGGCGAAGGAGTGAACAGCGTGTGCGGAGGAAGGACTGAACCGAGGACGGCAGCGTCTTTGACTCAGGCAGTGGCAGGGTGTGTGTGAGAGAGAGGTCGTTGGGGCCGAAGGCGTGGTAAGCGTCCGCGAAGGAAGGACGGTGGGTCCGGCGGTAGCGGAGGTGCGTCCGATGCGTTGCCGATCCTCGTTTACGGCGGTCGTTCGTTAGCGCCCCCCCCCCCCCCTCCTGCTTCCCGCGCACCAGCGCCCCCTACACGGCGGCGTCGCGGGCGCCGGCGAACGGCTGCGCGCTATTTTTCTTACTTGCGCACTACATCGTTTGTTCTTCCGGCTATCCGCCGCGCCGGCGTTTTTCGACCTCCCGCCTTCGCGCTGGGCGCTCGCCATGATCGACCGCCTCGCCTGCATCGGCCGAGCGATCTTCGATCGGGAACCAATGGCAACCGGGACAGAACCGAGACGCCTAGCGTCCTTTTTGGTGCAGTGTGTATTCCGAACATGATGGGAAATGATGCCTCTTCGAGAGTTTTTTACTATGTGGAATAAGCTGGTCATATTCTCGGAGAAGGCACTTCATCCTAGTGGTCTAGTAGCGTGGTTCGCCTTGTGAGTTTTATTTTGTCAATGTTTCTGCGTGGTTTCCTCGTTATAATGCACTTTTCGTTATGCTGTAACTAATAAAATTGAGAAATTGAAATGTGTAAATAATGAATGCAACCATGAATAACATCTACAGTTTGTATTTAATATTTTTCTTTTATGTTTCATGTAAATGTTGAGATTTGACTATTAGTTATTACGCATTTTCCCCCACCGTGTGGAGAAAATGTATTTAAATTTCCTTTATGACGCTTTAAGTTTAATGCATTTACGCTTTATTTAAAATGTACACTTTTTGGAATACTTATCCTTGCGCTAGCCCGTGTGAAAGCGTGTCTGACCAGTCGTAAACTAGCAGCCATTTTGTGGAAGGTGTGCATTATACTTCAAATTACCCCCCTAAACTTATATATTCATTTTCATAACACCACGCGTATGTTTTTACCGCCGGATGTTAAATACAACCCTCGTCCTTTTAAACTCTGTTAAACCTTAACCTCCGCTAATACATATTTATACACTTCCTAATTGGGCGCCACATTTTTTTGTGTGCGTGTGAAATCCTGTTATTCGCCGAGAACGAGTAGGCGCCGTGGGTCACGCGCGCATTAATTTTCCAGCTGCGCTTCGAGAAATTTCCGCGGAAAATCGAGTTTGTCAGCGGAGGCCGGAGGCGTGGGAGCGGCCGCCTCGCCAGGATGCGTTGTGTGTGTGTGTGAGAGTGCGTGCGAGTACGAAGAGAGATCGATCTCATACGCAGCACTATGTGTGGGCGACGCCGTGCGAAGGAGAATGTAATTTTTCAGAGGTATTCGTGTACAACGTTTTACTCGTTTTGAATTGTGTTTCGGGAATGTTTCAAGAACTTAACGTTAACTGTTAGTGGCAGTATTCATCAAACTTTCCAAAGAATAGGTCTAGTAGTTTCAGGCAATGAAAGTTTTCTTTCTTGTAGAATAGGTTTTTTTCTTCGTCGGTATAGAATCAGGCTGTGGGTTTCAAAGAAGCTCTTCCATTCGAGAAAATGGAAGTTAAAAATAATGGTGACACAGCTTTTCGTGATTGTACATTTTTACGGCCCGGGAGAAATTATGTTTGCGTCTTTGAATTTTGGAGGTAGTTCTCTATCTTGTTGAGGCATATTTTGTAGCAAACGTCTTACTGCGTCCATAATGAAGTACCGTATTGCTTGAGAAAATCAGTAAAAGGAAAACTGAGAATCTATTGGGATTGTTCTCAAACTATTCACAGTCGTTACCATCATTGAGAAAGAAATTGAGTTTTTAGTGGGTAAGAACAATCCTTGTAAATAAATAACTTGTTCAAACGTCGAATTCAAATGTGTCTACGCAATTCACTCGCAGGAGTGTAACTGTAAATGATCTGCTGATTGTATTTCTATATTCACTCGGGGGGAGGGGAAGAGCGTCATTGTTTTTGTGAAGATACGCAATGGTATTTACCGTTGGCCATTCTCAGTGCGGCGGACGCAAGCCGGGCTCAAAAATTATTTTTGTCCATCCACAACGTTCCGTCTTCCGCATTGTGAGGCGGCGGACTTCGCCCCCGCCTTCCTCTGCGGCGATGCGGACGTGCCCCGGATCGGCAACGCTGCCCCTCTTCCCCCCTCCCCTTCTCCATTCCCTCTCCACCTCTTCCGGATCCGCCTCCGCGCCTTTCGGCATTGCACGCAACCCTGTGGTCAGTTCGATATTAAAAGTCGATACTAAATCATAAATATCGGCAATAACGCCGCAGCGTGCCCGGCCGGAGGCGGCGGCGTTGGTCGCAGGCTGCGAAAGATGAGAGAGACCGTAAGAGTAGAGGTCTGGAAAAACTCGGAGTAAAGAGTTGGGCTACAAAGAGTGGATTGTGTAGGTCAGAAAATGAACTTTTAGAGTTCGAAAACGAGAGTATGGTGTTAGATAAACTACGTAACGTGCTTAGAAAGTAATGCCATTATAAAATAGTGTAGAAACGAATGATAAGGGTAAACATTAAGACTACATAATGAATACCAACATTTTAAGATTGAACAATTAAAATGGGTATCGGGTGAAATAATTAAGGAGAATGAATTGATGTGACGATGACTCCGCAAGTAAAATAGATTCATGAAATGAAAGAGAGCAATAAGAGAAAACATTTCATTATCTAAAAGAACAAATGCGCAATTAAAGTAAATGGGAAGCCTCAGAAACGGACGAAATTCATTGTGAAACGATGATGAACACTGGTGTGCCAGCGCGGAATTCAAACTTCAACAAGAGGACTGTCGTCTGGGCGAAGGGAAGCTTGGTGAAGGTCGCCCCGTGTCTGCGTCGGGTAGGTGGTGGCGCCGCGCCTTCTGCTGCACAAGCACCACCGACCCCCTGACACCGCGCGAATGACACGGCCAGTGGCGCAGCTGGGATGTGGTGGGGAAGCAGAGCGCTATTTCGACACTGCAAAACGGGGCATGCTGCGCTGACTGGCCGGGAGGGTAGGCTGCTTTGTCCATTAATCCCGTAAGGGTAGGTTTACATCTCGGGAGGCGGTAGTGTTTTTGCCCCGGTATAACGTGAGATACTGCGCCGACCTTGCTAAATCGGAGTGTAGGCGTCTCCTCCTCTTGGTATCTCCGGCAGCCAGGTACTATCTCAGTCGGGACAAGCTCTAAGCTTCCGACTTGTCTCCTCACATGTGTAGTAGTTTAGTTCCTCTAATTGCGTTTGTGTTTTTGTGTCAAATAATAAGAAGGAACACGGATGAAGAAGGAAAAATCGCGCGCGATCTGTGGCCCGTTTGCTAAGGTACATCTCCAGTACTCGCGTGATATTGATCGTAGCAACTACAGGCGCACAGCAGGCGGTCGGTCCAGACTCCAGACAGCGGCTGATTTATAACGAGCCATCGAACTCGAAAATCCGCCAAAAAGAGGGGTTGAGCGGTGGACGCGGGATGTGAATGCATAGCGGTTCGATGCTGTGTGGAGCGCAGGGCAGGGGATTCAATGTCGGGCTGGTCACGAGATGGAACGGCACTCGGCGGGGCAAGGTGAGACGAGGTGAAACGTTTGAGTCTCGTGGGGAGCGCGTGGGTGTGCGAGGCTCTGCCTGTGGGTGTTTCACGCTCGTAGCCGTTCAACTGTCTGAACGCCTCGCAAATGCCTTGCATTCGTTGTGACGTCCCAGGGAACTTGTTGGCAGTGCTGATTTTGTTTACGCAGCCATTACTTACTTTCTCTGAATATCCAGTCCGTTGGAAGGAAAAAACTCACCCACTGTTTTGCCAGAGATCACACAATTTATGTTTTCTTTATTTTTCAATTCATTCCTATGACTTACAAATCCCTTCATGTTTTACTTTCCCTTTGTTTTGGTATTCAGACAATTGTAACAGAATTTACTGTTTAAGTCTAAAGGAGGCTAGGATAATGGCTAAGGAGGATTTTGGCTAAGGGTTTTCTTGCATCGAGCACTTCAAAAAATATTTCTTTTCTAACACTTTTTCTATAAAATGCTGCACACATACTAGTCACAATACAATGATTTGCACATAAAATATTGCAAGATAACAATTCGATGTAGCGACATTTTTGTTCATACCTCGATTTTTAATAATAAGATAAGCTTTCGCTTCTCAGTATATGAGTTTCTAATTTTCACTGTTGTACAGCAGTGACAAAAAGTTGAGCGTGTTTGAGGATCTGGCTATAACGTATCGCTAGAGCACGTTGCTGAGAATATTTTCTTGGATGTACTATAACATTGAGAATATACTGTTTAGACCTAATAATAATTCTGTAATTTATTAGGAAACTATCACACAAAATACGACTATAAATCTAAAGTTAGTTCCAAAGAACGTGATTTTGTTTTCGTCGTGTTCCTAAAATAAACTTATCCTGTTGTTAGACTTTTATTCGGTCGTGTTTGTGGCGTAATATGTAGATATATTACTTCAATACTATTTGTTCCCTCTTGAGACTAGATTTTGAATGGATTTGTACTTCGTAACCATGTGCATATGGTCTGCAGTAAAGGAAGGGAAAAAAAGAAGGAAAAAAAGGCATGGTGTTTTATTTCCTAAAAGGACTCCTGCTACGTGTTTGTTCCGAGTATGAAATGAAAGCTGTTCTCGCGAGTTCAGATAGTCTCCGAGGGACTTCACTTTTTTGTGCGTTTATTTGTAACTGTGAGAATTGGAGTTAGTTCATTTTGGGCTTCACAAAGGTTTTTTTGTGAACAGCTTGGGACATTACATTGAAGCAGGCTAATAGCTTTAAATTACATCCACCGAGTCGTGGCTTAAAAACATTTATTGTGTAATTGAGAGATTTTCTTTTTTGTGCCTAGCTTTGCGACGGAAACGTGAAGTTTGAAAGTTGTGTGCTGGTGATGCCAGTATTGACGTTTCTTAATCTTGTTACAAAAGTCCCGATAAAAAACAATTCTTCTTCTCTGATTGATGTCTTACTCTTATTGCATAGTCAGCACAATTTCCATTATTTTTAATCTCTAATTAAAGTTAGCTATTTTACGTGTCTAAAATAATGTGAATGTAAATCAAAATTTTAGTTAAATCTAGGCAATGAACTACTCTTCATCAAACATCACGAGAAACATACAAATTACATTATGAATATTCTGTTATTCATGAGATTTCCAGGAATTTGAAATAATAATATTCAATATATTGTGATTAGGTTGTGGTTTTATGTTGTTTTTTGTTTTTTATTATTTTGCATGTTAAATCATATTTGCTTTCACATTCTTGTAATACATGTAAGTTCAAAAATTCTGAAGTGGCAAGACTACCCGGATCGGAACTCCATGGCGAGATTTCAGAGCTTCGGCAAACCGCAGTACTCGTATGCATTAAGCGCCGTGGGTTGCCTAGCGTGCAGGCGCCGTCCGCACGTGGCTCGTCGAGGGTGGAGAGAGCTCTCGTGGCTGACGCCACTCTCGGCTGGACGGGCGGGCGGGGTCACGTGAGGGCGCGCGAGGCGAGGAGATGACGCGGGGGTAATTGGACCCACCCCTCTCTTCCCGTCCCCCATCCTTCCCCCTACTGCGTTCCGTAATAATGCTCGAACGCGCCCCCGCCTTCCCCTATTCCGCGCCAACGCTCTCATCTCGCCTGGGGACCTATCCGGCGGGTGTTTCGTCTTCCATTAGCGAACGCCCAGTGATGTTACGGGCTGACCCCGTGCCTGGCCCAATTACGCGTACGGACGCGGGCGGTAATGTTGTGAGTGCGGTCGGATGTTCCGCTGTGTGCGGCTGCCGCTGCTTCAGCCGACTGCATCCTTCTCTTGTCGCGTCATAGCATTCAGACACATTGTACGTCTCGCTTCCTCTTTCCCGCCATCCTCCCCGAGCGGCGTGCTTGAGCGTTGCTTTGTCCGCAGGTGTACTACTACGTGGTGGAATCGCCCCGCAACGAAGGGAAGGACTTCTTCGAGATCAACCTGCAGACGGGCGAGATCTTCACCAAGGTGGTGTTCGACAGGGAGAAGCAAGGCGCGTACGCGCTGGAGGTGGAGGCGCGGGACGGAGCCCCGTCGGCGCGGCCCAACGGCAACGGACAGCCCAACTCCGGTGAGTGTTTGCCCGCTCCATCATCCTATTGATTTCCAGGAAGCCATCGTTCAACGCCGACAGTTTCTTGCGACGCTGCGGGGCGCCACGCCGCGCCGAGCCGCGCGGCCCGCGAGTTTATTTGCTCGGAACCGGGTGGGGGAGCTGGTGTGTGTGTGTGCGCTCGCGACTGCGCAAACGCCAGCGCGCGACGCGTGCCAGTTGAGTGGTTGATCTTTGCATTCAATTTGTGGAAATATTCATGCAAGCATCCTGAATATTGTTAATACAGCTCAGTACGAATTTTCCAACTATACGAAGCCAACGTTTGTCAGGACGATAAAATGTTCCGGCAATCAAACACGTTATGCATCATATTTAGTAAAAGTTTAAATATTACACGAAATTGTTATGCAGAAATAAAAAAAATGATGGTCATTTTTGAAAATTTTATTAACTAATGGAATAATATCAAATCTGTATAAATTGGAATCATAGTGAAAAACATACGAAACTTGTCGATATGCATAGTTGACCAAAAGGAAATAAATAAATGTAAAAATCCATGATTAAGTTCGGTTAGTTAACATCTCCATATACGACGCTCTACTGTAGCAGATATTGATTACTTATCAACAGTTTCTGTAAATAAAGTAGCTTGAATTAAAAAATAAGTACTTAACAATTACGTTATTCGTCCCTATAAATGTTTCCCTTATGCTTTGGACTGAGTTGATTGGGGCGGTATTTCTTTTAATATTTATTGTCCTTTCGCTATTATTCATCATTCACTCGCAGAAGATGAAGTTATTGGTAGCTGTACACAATAATTCCGATTCACACCAAAGCTGCACTTACGTATGCCGAATCGTCGCGTTAAAGTAGTAGCATACACAATTAATTTATCAATAGTTAATTAACGAATTATATTTTGAATGATATTTCGTTGGTCTTTTTCGGTATATTTCGTTGACTAATTATTTTGCAACATTTAATTAACTAATGATACAAAACGAACAATATTTAAATGTCCTTCTACGACCCGAAGAAATATATAATGATGTATACAATGCTAATTTCTGTCACATTCACAACGACAAATATTCATACTGTAGTTTTCATTTCGAAAGCAGTGACCATGGGCAGATAGGTAGGGTTTATGCAAATATGGCTCTCTGAAAACAGCATGCGAATGTTTACAGTTCTATACTGGCTTATAATTTTTAAGTAACTGAAGAAATAGTTCTTTTAAGAAATGTTTTGTATAAAATGGCTACTAAATATTTTACCTTTTCTTCTACAATAAAATACGAAAACTCCTTACGTACATTGTGATTTGTTAACAGTTACCAAATATTGCACATAAGTTGCTATTTACTGTATTATCACTATTTGAAGTTACATATTCGCAATTTAAAAAGGAATTTTAAAGTCTTAATGTGATGAATTTTTTTTATTATTCCTTTTTTGCGTTATTTCTTTTTCTTATAAATACTTTCGTTATTCTTTTATTGGCATAGTTCCTAAATCTGAACTTTTAAATTATTTCAAGACATGAATAATTTTTGACCTGCCATTTACGTCCGAAATTCGGCAGGTGATACACGCACGATGCCACACAATCAGATTACGTCCCTGACATGGGTTCAACCGCATGAATTTTGGAAATCGCTCGGCCTCTCTTTTCCCACTTTATGGTCGAACAGGGACGAATCGATTTTTCTGAGCCGACCCTGGGTAAGGATCTGAAAACGACCAATGACCGAGAGGCTTCCTCGGTTTGTTTGCTTTTGGTGATTACGCTCTAGAAACTTCGAAACCAACTTGTTATTCCGGGGGAGATTTTCATTAGGGAATTGGTTTGCGTTTCCTATGCAGCACGAAAACGCGCACACGGTCACTCGCGGAACCCTGAGATTAGCGGAACACTAAACGGAAGTGGCAGCTTGGTCGCCTATGTTTTCTGTCAGCGCGAGGCAAACTGAGGCATAGCTCTGTGCCATTTTATTCCCCTTTAGATGTTAAATTCCAGTAGTTTTATTTGATTATTCACACACTTCGAAGGTTTTCATCTTAATCGCACGGCAAACGTTACGCACACAAAATAAGACACGACCCTCAATTTTCTATTTTCGTAGTACGTTTCTCTCTGACTGTGCGTTGCAGTTATCCGATGAAACTGAATGTGAGAATGGAGGATAGAAAATATACTTTTCCTCAGTTTTGGAATGATAAACTGATGCATTATCTTGAAAAGTTACTTGCACTTTTTAATTCATTGGTTAGTTTATCTAATAATTATGAAATTTTGAGATTAATTATGAAGTATGCCAAATTACTAATAGTAAGGATTTGTCCAAATGATTCGTCAAATGTTCGCGCTGTTTGATTTACAGTATATGAGTATAAACAATGCGTTTTCATTCACGATAGTAATTTATCTGAAAAGATGCGAGTTTAATTGAGTAATAACAACCAACATAATTGCTTGACAGTAGGTAGTCAGTTCAAATTATAGTATTCAATACGTTTGATTGTATATTGCTTAGAACTTAGGTTTTCATGACACAATATAAAGAAGAAGAAAATAGTATTTTTAGTGTGTCTCATTGTAATTCACAGCGAATCTTTCTTATTTTGAGCCTATGAAAATACTATCACTTTAATTAGGTAGTAGTTCATTGAACCCTCAGATATTGACAATTAGTATTGTACTAAATTATTATTGCTTTTTGATTGAATTCCTGTACATCCATTTTTATTTTAAGCTATTTCAAGTGTAGGTCACGTTGACGGAGTCTATATCGAGAACCTCCGCATGTATTTCTGCAGTCTTCCGCCGGAAGTTTCCCTCCCGCGCTCTGGTGGCGCCGGGGAGAAGCGGCGAAGCGCACGTGGGAGAGGGGAGGGGATGTGGGGCACCCGCGCGCACGCCCGCTCTCGTTTTCTTGTAATTAGAGAGCGCCGGCCGCGGCGAAGAAGTGCCGCGCGCGCGGTGCGGCGTGCGCCCAAGCGGAGAAACTCGGCCGGACGGAGCCAGCATCTTAATCGGGGCTCGCGGGAGAAAGGGGCGTGGCGGCGACGCGGCGAGGACTTGGCCAAACTCTTGACAGAGCCCGTACTGCGAGCCTTCTTCAGGCGCAGGATGGCGGAAAGTTAGGCGTTAGGCATTCATTTTATCTCACACGACTTCTTTCCTTTCCTTCTTTTTTGATTATTTTTTTAAGCTCGGTCCGAGTGTCTCTCCATTTTTGCCGCCCGCCCAGCCGCCCGCTGCTGTTGGTGCCGTTGGTGGGGATGGGGCAGGAGGATCAGCCCAGCGGGAAAGGGCAGGGGAGGGTCTAGGGCAGCGGTTGGCAAGGGTTGAGCCGCGCCGCGCCGCGCCGCGGCTCGTGGCTGCCGGGGTAACCGATCTCAATTAGTGCGCTCTCGCCCGCAGTCGTCTCGCGCACCCTCGCAACCGCCGCGTCTCGTGCCGTCTCCTTAAGCACCGCCACCGCTGCCGCACTCGCCTCTGCACTGGCTCGAATCCCACTTGCCTCGCTGCTACCTTCCACGCTCCCGCTCGTCAGAGGTCTCTGGCTGAGCATCTGTCACTCTCGCTCTGGGTGATTCCGTTTGCTTTGCACGTTTGTCTCCTAATGCTCTCTTCCATTGTGTTAACGTGTCTTGTGTTGTATTCGCTGTCAAATGGTGTTCGCGTGGTTCGGGGGTGAATTAGGTTCCTCGCTGTGAGACATGGATGCGTTTAGAGAGAGAGAGAGAGAGGCAAAACGAATGATAGGGAAGGTTTACGTAAATATTTAGATATTTGCCATCCTTGAAAAAATTAATACATTTATGTTGTAGCAGAAGATTTACTACTAACATTGTTATATCTTCAGTCTTTCCTTCCGGTGCTTCTTATTATCATGTCAATTTGCCTCTACAGTTTTTAGAAGAAGGAAGAATTAAAGAAGTTGAAATCACTGGGCATTTTTTGATTGAGAACGGGAGTCTCTGAAACGTGTTTGAGTGGTTATCGGCCGCAGATAATTCTTATTTTGACACGTTCGTGGTAACATTTTTTGTACAAGCAAAAGAAAAATTGAAACCTCTTCAGATAACTTCTCTTTCTTGAATTAATACGTGCATTCGAAGAGAATTACTGACGAGGGAAATAAGCAATGCGGCACATACACGAACTCTCGAAGAATTATCTGCCGTTAATGATAGGTCGCTTAACATTCAAACGTTAACTTTATTTTCTATCTTCTGTATGCCTTTCTTTCAATGAAAACTCGAACCCAAATCCCGCCAAGTAACATCGAGTGCTCAATTTGGACTGGTTAAATTCGAGGCACCGAGTGTGCATATGTCTTCTTCCGGCTCAACCTTCTGCGGCCTGCTCGTCGCGGCGCCGCGTAATGACGGGGTAATGCTGTTTGCTCGGCGGAGCTGCGCGCCCAAGTCGAGCTGTTGCACGGGCGAGGGCGGGGGTGGGCGAGCGGGCCGGGGGCATAGGCGGGCGCGAGGGCGGGCGAACGGGCTCCGCCGCCTAACAGCATCGCTGCGCCAAACACGGCGCCGCGCCGCCCGCCCGACGCGTAATCCGGAGCGCAAACGTGGCCGCGATGCCACCGCGCGCGTGCGCGGGGCTGGCCGAGAACGAGACGGCTGCTGCGGGAAACGCGGGGTGGGCAAGAGTGTGGTGTGAAAGGGATAGAGAGAGAGTGGGTAGGGAGGAGCGCCCGTGGCTGGCGTCGCAGCTGACGTCGGCGCTCGCGGAACGGCTGCTGGCGATGCGGAGCGCTGTGCGCAGGCTCGGCGCTCACTTGCCGCCGCCACCGCATCTGCTTCCAAATCCACCACCACATCACCGTTTTCACATCCACCTGCGATTCCGCAGCCGACACCGCTACCACCATCACCTCCACGTCTGCCGTCACCGTCGCTATCATCGATACCACCGCCGTCGACGCTGCTGCCGTAACAACGGATGACGTCACGCCCTGACCCGCGGGAGCCACTTCTCATTTGTTACTTTACGGCAAAACCTGTATGCGTTTTGGGATCAAAGTAATGGAATTACAAGATTAAATAATCTGTCGTTCAGAGCTAGTTTTTTCATTGAAGTTTCCTAGTTTTGAAGTCACCAATCATTCTATGTGTGCATTTGAATGCACTGTAATGACAGGTGTTTCGTTTCAAAGTGACATTGCTGAAGAGAATCATAAAATAATGATTTTGACGTTCCAGTTCAGTAATATTAAAGATTATATATATTATAATAATATAAAGTATTAATGTTAAAGAAACATAATATATTTTCAGAATACATTTTTTATTGTTAAATATGGAACTGCAAACATTCTCCTCGATTCCCCGTACAATTTATTTATAATGAATAATACTGCATTTGTAATCACTTTTCGTTAGTCAATTATATTTTGATCGTTAATGACAATGGAAATTATGTTCGCTCTTGGCTGTTTTTGTTCTGCCAATGGGATTTTTGTTACCTAATATTAATGCTTGATAATTTTCTATTCCCCTCACGGGAGAAATGTGTATGCGTTCACATGAAGCTTGGTTCACATGGACTTTTATTAACATCGCATAAAGAGGTGAATATTTACTATCGTTGACTGCACTCCGCAAGACGGGCATAATAACCCTTTCCTGAAAACGTGTGACCCAGTTATTGCTGCGTGAAGCATTACGGCAATAATGGGGCCATTATCTCGTAGGCTTCCTCTTCCGGTATATAATTTCCGATTTATCACAGAATGGCACACTGTAAATGACCATTAGTTCCCATTTGCCGGATGAAAGAGAAAAACGGGGCGGTTATTATAGTGAATATCATCCGGAGCCGGCAGCCGGCGGGGTGGTCGTTTGAAGCAGGGCGACCTCGCGCCCGTTGACTAATAGAACGCTGGTTAATGAAACGCAAGTGCTCCAATGGCCCTGTCGTGCGGGGAGGGGGGGCGGAGGTCGGGCGGACGGCGTTCTCTGACAAGTGGGGCATAATATCGCTGAGCCACACGCGCGCCCGTGCCGTCTGGCTGGTCACGTGAATGGCGACGCGGAGGCCGTGATGGAGATGGACAGTGCGCGGCGACCGTTTCTATACTGCTAGATGTGTCTGACGTGGAGAAGCTGGGCTATTGGGAACTGAGTTTGATACAGGATTCCGTGTAAATGCCATGGTTCTGTAACAAGCTTTATTGCCGAAATACTAAAACTAAATGGCCAGTTGTGTGAAAAATACGCTTCATTCTTTGCGTCTTAGCACGCCTCATAGAAGATACTACTTGAGTCTACACTGTGTTGTTGGTGGTTCAAACACTTGTTGGCGTCCGAACTCACCAGTAAACGTAGACTAATTTTTATCTCTTAGAGTCGTGCTTGAAAATCGTCAAAAAAAATAATCATATGTCCACGTAAACGTCTGGCTATTGTGCACTTGTATTGTGCTTTATAATTACTTCTGGTACCCTACTATCACTGAAATCTTTTTCTAATCTGCCTAACTGATTCTCAAACTAGTACTAGGTCTCAGAGTTTTTGTATTTTGTTCTGAAATTAATCTTGTTTCTAAAGCCTTAAGGTCGCACTGTTCAAATTGATTGATGGTTTCGTTGCGTTGTTAACTCTCCCTCCCAGTAAGTTCTCAATATCAGTATTTCTTGATTTATTGCTCCCAAATTTTTATGTGGATAAATTCAATAGGCTTCCCTGTTGTTCGCATCGTGTTTGATGAATCTTGAAAGATACCGTCCGTGATACATGTGTACTTGGCATAGGTTTAATCGTCAATGTTGACCGTAAAAACGTCCAGTTCGCAACAAATCTGATCTGGCCTGTCGACTGCCTATTGGCGTTTTTTGAATTATGATTCGTAATTGCAAGTTAGTGGTTGTAAATCAGTGATGTGAGATTAATTGTGTATTAAAGAGAGGAAAGCTGTTATGTGGTTTTCATAACAGTAATTGGATATAGCATATCCGTTCAGTTTTGTCTGTTAATATCAGAATTTATTGAATGGTGCGATACTCTGTGCGATTTGTGATGAAACTGAAAACAGTTCGTCGTGTATTTTAAGTGATAGTTCTTTTCAAGAAACTGCAAAAGCGAGGACTTTTCGAACTGAGTGCTAGAATCGTTAACATTTTGCGTGTTAAACGTGTGTTCGTTCGCACCCATCTTGTTGCTCTAGGGCTGAAGGCCGGCAGGTGGCTGCGTACCGAGAAAGACATGACATTTTAAGGACATTGCCTTGGATATCGACTGTATGGGTTACAAATACCTGCAGCGAGAATGAAGAGAGCCAATTGGTTTCTCATTACTTTTGGGATACTCAATCGTAGAAGAATAAAACGCGCTGAACTGAAATAGAGACAACTGCTGTGATCCCGGGGCGTTTAGAACCCCCATAAGGGTGGTCGATGCGTTGGTTCGTGGCCAGCTCTTCACTTCTGGGTTGACATGAAATAAGTACATTGAAGGGAAGTGTGTACATTCACTTCACGTGACGCAAATGAGCATCTACTTCATTGTTTTTTTAATAAGCCCCATATTATCTTAAAGAAACCAAAATTAAAAACAGTTAACGAAAAGCTTACTAATTTGTTTGCAAAAGTTTATCCAAGTTTAGAGTATCCACGTTTTTCTAAGACTTTTTTAAGAAATGAAAAGCAAATGGAAACTATTTTATTCAACCAACCGTGAAGTATTGACTTCAATGTACTATAAATAATTTATAGTATTTAAATTTTAAACGCCAAATAACTTCTTCTGAAATAAATAAATATTTCTTTTTTTTCTTCGAGGAAAAGAATCGTAAATCATTAACTTGTGCATTCACAATTTTAATTATAACATACCGAATATATCATTTTCTTGGCAATATGTGAGAGTCTCACTCTGCGCAGAGCGGCGTTCGACCACACTGATCGGGATTCCGTCGCACTGTTTGGGGTGGGGAGTGCGGGGCGGGGCGTGGTGAGGCGTGGTGGGAGGGGCGGGTGAGCGGTTCCAAGCGGGCGTCGCCTGCAATCGTGCGGTGCAGTCGCGCGCTGTGAGGGCTCGGTGGTGGCAGGGGGGGCGGGGGGCTGGCTGCAGGACACGCGTGCGATTGCGCCTGTGTGCCCCGAGGGTTCGGCGCGTGCGGCAGCTCGGAACCGCCAGAAGCGCAAAGGCGCATTGCACCGTTAAGTGCGAACGGGGTCGCACGCGTGGTCTGACGCGTGTAATTGTGGGTTGTGAAGACAATCCTTTTCTCTGCTTAATCTTTGTGAAAATAATTTCTTGGTTCGAAAAATATACATTTGCAATACGATTATTAAAAATAATAATGTAATTATTTTGTGTTGTGCGAAACTGTTATATTGCACATTTATAAATAAATATTAACAAATCAGTGTACATTGTAATTGGC